TATTTCTTGAAGGGGCCTTTTTCTTTGGTCCAAGCCTTTGAAATTCAATTTTGGAAGCTCACAATTTGAATAGATATCATTATAGCCCATTTCATTTTGTCACTGCTTAGGACTCTTTCTATATTGGGTGTAAGATAGGGATGTGAAAAAAAAAAAAAATCAAATGAATTGATTTAAATTTGAAATCAACTAAGTCATAATCAGTTTGAAAAAAATAAAACCACATTGTTTATACAAAATGAATTTTAAAAATCAAATTGCATTAGTAATTAAGTTTGATGAACCAATACACCATTTTTTAAATAACGAAATAAAATTAATTAAAAATAATTTATTTATGTCTCACATCTCATAGTCTAATGATTTATAGTACCTCAAAATGTTTGAGTAAGTCTTCGTTTTTGCTTTTCCTATTTTTTACTTTTTAATGGTGTTAGTTATCAAATGATATTTTATAATTAATTTTTTACATAACAATTATAGTTTTTTTTTATAATATTTTTGAGTTTGACCTCTTGAAGTTTGTTTGTGCAAACTTTCTTCTTTTAATTTTTTTAATAAAATAAACAATTTTCTACTTATTATGATGTGTTTGTTTATTTAATTAGTTTTTGAGTTAAGTGTCTTGACTAGTAAAAGATCTTTGATTTGTCTCTAAAGAGTACATTAATTATGATTTTGTTCATAATTTTTGAAAAATTAATTCAGTTCTTAAAATTAATTCAAATTGGTTTGATTTTAAAATCGGTTATGAATATATTTATAAAAATGGTTTAGTTTTGAACTGATTTAGTGATTTCATTCAAATGCTTTATGAGTCAATTCATTTTAATAAAATGGTGAGGTGCAATTTAATGTGATTAAAAAAAAAAAAACTCTAACCTTCTACACTTGTAGCTTAAAAGTTTTCTCACAAAAAATTATGGATTTTGATGATACGGTAGATTTAATTAACCATCTTGAAATTGATTAAGGGTTAAAAATTTAACTTTTCAATATTCTTTTGCTCTTTGGACCATTAACCCATTTTCTTACTTGACTTTCTACTGATATGGGTGCTTCATGTCTTGGACTTCTAATTGCTGTTTGTTGCTTATTTAATACTGTCGATGAAGAACTGCATTGTGCAACAAAAGTTAATCACGCAATTAATGCATGTTTGGTGATGTTATATATATCTTGACATTTCTTTCTCAAAATTATTACACAAGAGTTATATATTTTGTTCTAATATAACAAATTCACGCCTTCATTTCTAAGGGTTAGGTAATATATGTATTATGTCTTTTAAATCATCTCTTATTTATTTATTTGGTGGATATCTCTTCTTTATTTTGTAACATATTAAATCAAATTAATATTATTTTTAATTAAGAAATAAGATAGTTTTACATCTATTGTTCCTTTTAAATCGTTTATTCTTTAATTTTGTGACAAATTCAGTTAAATATTCAATAAATTTAAATTAATATTATTTTTAATTAAACAATTTTATGAGGATTTCTCTATAAAAGAATCTGAACCAAATATTCAATTAAAAAGTTTTTTTTTTAATTCCAAGTTATCCATGATTTCTCCGATTGTGTAAAAAGAACGTAACTTTTTGTAAAAAGGGAAAGGAAAATTTTAAAAAAATAAATTTGGAGTTTAACTCAAATGTTATGTTACGATAATGTAAATTTTACGCTTTCATTCAACTATTACATCATTAATCGTTGTTTTCTGTGGTATTTATTATAATTAAACTGCTTTAATCATGTGATGCATAAGCTAAAAGGTGGATACCAGAGAATGAGAGAAATAAAAAAAAGAAAATAAAAGATTCGACAGATGATATAATCAGAAAGTAAAAGGGAAATAGAAAAAAATATATATAGAAGTTAAGGTAAGTGTATCATAACAAATACCCATATAAAATAGCTTATGTGTATGTTTTTTCTCTCTAAGAGTAGAAAGTTGTTATGTCATGATTGAGAAAGACTTAAATTGCTACTGTAAAATATTAAAAAGAAAACTGGTAGACCCCAATGAAAGTAATGATGTGTTCCTGAATCATACAATTTATGTCTCTTTTCGTAACAACAGTTCTTCCATTCTTGAAGAAAGAGGTTCCTATCGATTGTTCATGGGAAAAATATAAATGAGGTCGGGGTACACGATCAAATGGATTGGATTCCTTTGCTACACTCTTTTTATCTCT